CCTCCTCCTCCTCCCTCTTCCTCTTCCTCTTCTTTTGCCATAGGGTCTCACTATGTAGCCCAGGTTGGCCTCAAATTCATGACAATCCTTCTGCCTCAGCCTCCCAAGTGTTGGGGTTACAGGCTTGCACCACCACACCCAGCAATACTGTCCTTTTTCTAAAAGTCACATAACAAGCCGGGTATGGTGACACACACCTGAATCCCAGCCCTTCAGGAGGCTGAGGCAGGAGGATCTCCATGAGTTCAAGGCCAGCCTAGGCTACATAGCAATACCGTCTCAACCCCCCAAACATTAATAGTTAATACATAATAAACAGGTGAACAAAAGAGTGAATGAATGCTGGAGACAGGCAACTGTTCCCTCTCCCGAGTTTGGAGAAACCTCTTGAGCCGCTCCTGATTGGACAAGGTCCCCTCCGCTCAGAGGCACAGAACAGCGCATTTGGCAACAGGGTTGTTGCAGAAGAAACCAATTTGAGGCCCTTAGAGCGGTTGGTTACCGGCCAAATCCGAGGAGGGGAGAGGAAGGCTTCTTCATCCCTCAGATCTCCGTCTCCCCGAGGGCAGGGGCCAGGGTCCCCGCAGCGGGGAGCAGAGGGGAGCGGAGCAGAGGTGCGACCCGCGCCTGCTTTACCCCGGCCAGCACCGTGGGCTCCTCCCCGAGGGCCGAGGAGAGGCCGCGGTGCTGCTGCGTGCGCGGCGGGAGGAAGTATGGAGAAGTTGCGTTTCTCTAACACAAAGAAGCCTGCCCAGCAGAGCGCCGTCGTGCAGCGCCGGTGAAGGCTGCAGCCCTGGGCGAACGCCGGGTAGGGAGGGTGATGTGTCCCTCCCGGCACAGTTCGGGGTGATCACGCGGAGCAAACGCGCCCGGCATCAAGGTTCGCAGTGCGGACCACAGGGGCGCCTGGGTCACAAGTGTGCTGGGCGGCTTGAATTAGATCCTGATTGTAGATGTGCGTTAAATTGGTTAAAGAGTTGTTTTTTATTTTTAAAATCGTTATTAAATGTATCGGTACATATTAGGCATAGAACACATTTACATTCATCACTGGGCTCTTGCACCTTCACATGACTTAGCAGGTTCTTATTTTTCCCCCTTCCCCAGCCATCCCTTCACCCCCTCCACCCTTCCCTGTTTACAAAGACTTTGTTTCCATGGTTTGCCTCTTCACAAATTTTTTCTTTTCCCTTTTTACCTTTCCCCTACCCCTCCCACTTCCTCTACTCCTTTAGACTTTTCTTCCTATTACACAATATCAATTATACATTTTAATCCTTATTTACACTTTTACTTTTTCACACCAGTTAAACTATTCGGTATTTGCATGTGTGTATCTTATTAACCACTTAAGAGTAGGGCCTCAATGTGCATCCACTTAGCTATAAATGTCTCCAATTTCTTGTTCCTTATGGCTGAGTAGTACTCGTTGTATTAAAAAACAAACAAACAAACAAAAAAACACATCTTCTTTATCCAGCCTCCAGTTGATAGGCAATTGGTCTGTTTCCAAGTTTTAGCTACTACAAACTGTGCTGCTATGGACATGGGTGTGCATATATTGCTGCGGAGTGATTCTTTTAATTCTTTTGGGAAGATACTCAGCAGAGAACTCAGCTGGGTCAATAGAACCTCTAATCCTAGTTTGAGGTATCTCCATATCGATTTCCACAGTGGATGCACCAGTCTGCACTCCCACCAGCAGTGGAGAAGGGGTCCTTTCTCCCCACAGCCCCACCAACATTTGTTATTGGCTGATTTCTTGACAGCAGCCATTCTTACTGGGGTGAGATGGAATCTCATTGTTATTTTCATCTGAATCTCTCAAATGACCAGCGATGTTGCACATTTTTTCATATGTGTATTTCTTGCTTTTACTTCTTTGTCTGAGAAATATCTGTTCATTTCAGATGTCCATTTTTGAATTGGGTCTTTATTTTGGAGGGTCTGTTTTTTTGTTTTTTTTTTTTTTTTTTTTTTTTATTCTTTATATATTCTAGATAGTAGACCTTTGTCTGTGGAACAGCTGGTAAATTTTTTTCCCACATTGTGGGTTGTCTCTTAGCCTTGCTTGTGATTTCTCTTGCAATGCAGCTTTTTAATAGGATGAGATCCCAGTTGTTGATTGTGGAAGTTCCCATGCTACTGAGGATTTGTTCATAAAGTCTCTTCCTATGCCAATATCTTCTAGAGTTCTACCTATGTTCCAGTAAATTTAGTGTTTCTGTTTTAATATTTATATCTTTAATCTACTTGGATTTTAGTTTAGTGCATAGTGAAAGATACGGTCTAGTTTTACTTTTTGACAAGTTGAAATCCGATTTTTCCAACACCACTTATTAAAAAGGATGTCTTTCCTCCAGAGAGGGTGTTTGCCCCATGGAGGTGACACCGCAGAGACCCATGCGGGGCCAGACTTGAGCTTGGCCCAGCCATCCACAGGGATTGCGGCTGCTCATGGAACCTGGAGCTGGGAAACATGAGGCATGATCAAGACAGATGGTGAATGTGTGCATTAAATGTCTTACAGCAAAGGCACAATGCCATGAATCCCTTCAGGGCTTTCCCCTCACTCTGAACACAGTCACCCCATTGTTCTGGCCACTTTTTGTTTTGTGAAATAGGGACTCACCACGTAGTTCAGGCTGACCTTGAATTCACTGTGGGGACCAGGTTGGTCTCGAACTCACAGCGATCCTCCTGCCTCTGCCTCCCGAGTACTGGGATCACAGGTGTGCGTCACTATGCCCAGTTCTGGCCCCTTTGGAGGCCTCTTTCCTGAGGGTCTTAATGAGGTGTGATCAGAAATATGGTGACTCCTGCTGTCCAGCACCATCCAAGGTGAAGGCAGGCTCATAGAAATATGAGTCCGTGTCCTCATCCACCTGATCACCAATCTGGCACTGTGTGACTCTGGCTTTTTCAAAATCAAAATGACCATGAAAGGGAAAGGTTCTGAATCACTTTGGGACACCGAGGCAGCCAGGACAGTGCAGCGAAAAGGACCACGCAGGACTCCAGCGCTGCTGCACAGGCAAGGCCCATGGGACGAGTGTGCTCCAAGCGAGGGGAGCATTTCAGGGGGATCCATGGCAATGAGGCTTTTACTGTGACTTAGAAATTTAAACGTTTCCAGTTTCCCATTGCGCAGTGCAGGTACTTTCCATGAACTCGGAAGACAGCAGCTTCCCGCAAACAGAAGCTCTGGCATCTGGGCGGCGGTCTGCTGCAGATGTCCCGGCGGCTCTCGGGCCTGGCGCTTTGGCACTGCGGGCTCTGCCATGGGCCTGGTTCACGAGTCTGTGCCGCGGTGCACGCCTTGCGCACGCCTTGCACACCCGTCAGCGACCTGGGCCACGGACGCCAAGTGTGGGCGCAGACTC